TTATATATGCAAACTTTTAAATTCATTAACACTCACTATTTTGTAATCAACTTTAGGTTCTCAGAGCCCCTCAGGGCGCAGCTTAACTGGTAGATCAATCAACATTGACTTGTTTCCAGCGGTAGGATGGAGAGTTTGATTCTTTGTGGGAACCTGTGGCCAAAAATTTGGTATGGATCAATCACTGTGGAGGAGGGTCTCTTGTGCGCAGAAGTGTATAGTCAATGGAGGAAACCTGTGATCTAGTTGAGGCATATCCTGCGATTTACCCCCTCCAAGGTTCTAGGGGCATGGGTCTTGGAGATCCATGATTTAGTTTGGTATAAACTGGGATACCTGGATATAAAAAAAAAAAAAAAAAAAAAGTTTTAGGTTCTCAGTGGAAACTTTATTTCATCATAATTTGGTTGAAAGTTTTTCTTCATTATTATTATTATAATACTCCATAATTTATGGAGTTCCATTCTTCTTTGAGACTCAGTCAATCGTTTACACTTTACAGTCTTACACTATTACTGTTCACTTTCCATGTATTTATATATATAATGGAATAAAATATATACCCACACCAACTTACAGAGCTTATCCCCCATGTTTCTTCCTCATTTCTGGAAATTTCTCTTTTGTTGATGAGTTTCTCCAGTACCAAATTACCAACTTGAAAACGTTGAAAGGAATTTGATCAAATCAAATGAAGATCCAGTGTGATGTATGTGACAAATATGAAGCATCAGTATTCTGTGTGGCGGATGAAGCAGCCCTCTGCGCCGCCTGTGACCATCGTGTCCACCATGCCAACAAACTTGCCGGAAAACACCAACGCTTCTCCCTCATCCAACCTTCACCTAAACAATTCCCAGTCTGTGACATATGTCAGGTATCTGAACTTTTTTTTGAATTTTTTTAATTGTTATCAGTTTTCCAGTTCGTTGATTTGGTTTTTGATTTACAGAAGAAGAGGGCCTTCTTGTTTTGTCAACAAGATAGAGCAATTCTATGCAGAGAATGTGATATTCCAATACATAAAGCAAATGAACACACTCAAAAACATAATAGATTTCTTCTCACTGGTGTAAAGCTATCTTCAACCTCTGCTCTTTATTCTTCATCCTCAACATCAACAGAATCCTCCATAACTATTGTTTCAGATTCTGTTCTGAATATCCAGTCCCAGACTTCATTAAATAAGCCTGTTTCTATTTCAGTTTCTTCTTCTATTTCTGAAACCCCCACCAATCCACCACCTTTCACTGCAAAGACTACAAGTTCAGTTATTGGAAGCGCCGACGGATCGCCGCCACCGGAGACTAATGACGAAACTGGTGGAAATACTCAACTTATAAATTGTTCCACAACTAGCATATCAGAGTATTTAATAGATACACTTCCAGGGTGGCATGTTGAAGATTTTCTTGATTCTTCTTCTTCTGGTTTCTTTAAGGTTAGCATTGTTGTAAAAATAATAATAATAATAATAAATAAATAAATTACACCCATCAATTCCATATGCTAAAATTCTTTTATTGATCTGGATTTCATTCTGTTTGATCAAATTGTAGACTACAGAAAATGATGTGTCGTCATTTTTGAATGCTGATCTTGAGAGCAATCAGCTGAGTGCTTTTTCCCAAGAAAATACGGGGTTTTGGGTCCCTCAAGCCCCTCATCCTTTGTATTATCCACCACAAATTCAGTCATATCCAACTTTAAACATGGCATTTGGGGCACCAGATGGATTAAAGGAGCCGAAGGAAATATCAAACATCAAATCCAGCAGAAAATGGAGTAGTGAAGACAATTCATTTGCTGTTCCGCAGATTAATCCATATACCGCTGCCTGAATGAGATCAAGAACTTTTCGGTAGTCCCAACAAAAAAAAAATAATGTTACCTTTTACTGATCTGGTTTCCATTTTTCACGGTTTTATGGAGTTTTTTATTTTCATTTTTCATTTTTATTTGATTGCTGTAGTTTGATCCCTCTTTCACCCAAGCTTGCTCCAAGTAAACTCCAAAATCTTCAGTCAGATTTTTACTGTCCATGTACTTGATGCATGCATCGATATTTTTGTCTGTAATTTGGGTGCATGCAGTATTAGATGGACTGAAAACTGAAAAGTAAGATTTTAACCCCTTTTTTCCCCGAATTAATCTACTTGTACAATTATTTTTGACAATAATGGATGACAACATTGATGTTGTCAAAATCTGCTCCGTTAGTTTTAAAAATAGATTTTGAAATGGATGAATGTAATAATGACAAGTATGATTGTCAATCAATATTGTAAGAAATAATTGTACTTGTAGCATGACTCTTTTTCCCCTCTTTAGCGATGTCAGAGTACGATTATTTCATTTATCTTGAGATATAAAATGTCTAAGATCTTTATGCTTAAACAAGAATTTCACAGAGGCACAAATTGGATAGATCAATTTATATCCAGCTCAAAAATCTCTTCAAATTTTCAATCTAATTATGACCTAATTTGAGATTTCTTGATTGCATTTATTGATGAGGTAGATCAGGCATTAAAATTTGGGCGGAGCAGTAATATAATACAGAATTAAATTAAGGGCATTTTGATGTAGATTTTTGTAGAGTTGATTTTTTGATACGTGTTATTTTGGAGAATGAGTAATTGAAAATGAGTTTGGAGGAATATGAGTTTTAAATAATATATACCAAACATGGTCTAAGTAAAGAAAAGAAATTATAATCTGATCCGTACCGAAACATTTGTAAGACAGTGGTCGGTAACATGTATAGGCAGAGGCAGTGACGCAGCGAAGGAAATGAATTCGAGCGAAAACCTTAAGAAAAAGAAATTTGGAATCCACCAAATAATAAAGAAAAATAAACTGACGAATTTATTAATGAAAGATAATAAAAAAAGAGCTAAACCCTTATTTATAAGGGTTTACATGGAAACGTAGTATAGAACAACTAAAAGTGAGGAAAAAGAAGTTTATTCAAACTAGAATTGTAAAAAAACGAAAATAAACGAATTGACAAAAATAGCGCTAAAACTTTAAAAATCAGTTTTCGAGGCCTAAACGAACTCGAAAGACGTATATCACAACATAGTAGTGAGTATTGTTTCCCTTGTCGTTCTCCTTCCAAAATGATCTTATGGGACCGATCTGAAATCATAATGATTGATTTGTACTAGTACTCTTTTTTTCAATATACCTCTTATGTCCTACATCAGGCAGTCTGGGCAAAATAAGAAGATGAGACCTGAATTTGGCAAAACATTGAATTTCAGTACAGAGAACATAATCTACTTGTAATTGTGTGGGGTTCTCTAGTCTTTATCATACATAAATCTCATTGGATTTAATTAATCCATTTAACACTGTTTAACCTAAATTAGCTTCGATCAATTTGATTAAGAAATTGTACTAGTCTTGTTTTATATTTTCAAAATTTACCACGTAATTCATGTCCAATGCAACTCGACTAAAGGAATATAACGTGCAATTTTTTAGCTACTCGATTCATCTTATGGCCCTACTTGGTTCATCCAAGAAACTAGATTAAATTATAAGTTAAAATCAACAATTAGTTTCAACCACACAAGTTATTAACTTTTTATCAAATTCTACTCAAAATCTTTTTTTTTTCTTTTTTTTTTAAATCTAAACCATACAAGGGTTATACATGTTTGGAGTTTTGATAAGATGACAACATTAAGAAATTTATCATCTTCAGTAGTGGATGATTAATGTTCAACCATCAATTCATCCACTATAAATTTTAATGAAAGTCCTCAATAATTAATCATCTCATCTGTAAACATTGTAAAACCCAGGGTTGTCACTTGTCAATGTTCAACAAGTGAGAGCTGCCATATTTGAGAATAGCATAAAATAGAGCTAACTTCTTTGACTTAAAAATATATTTAAACACGTTGGGGAAAAAAAGATGGGTTTTTCACAAATCAATATTGGACTCATTATCGTCATGCCTTACCCAAGTCTAATTTGGAATAAGCACCATAAAGTAAGAAAAAGTGGACGGGAATCTTGCTCTTTTTTATTTAATTCAACTGTCTTTTATTTCACATTTGAAATTCAATAATTGAGACCAGATTATAATATCAAAAAAGCTTTGTCAAATAGGAGTTGATTATAACCTTCCTTCATTTTATCCAATCTTACATGCGATAAAATGAAAAATATTCACTTGTACAAACACATAAGTGTATGCAAGATGGATTTACAAGATCAACCTTTAAAATACTTCAGCTACCTTGCTTGCAAGAACACGTTCCCGTCTTTCAACGTACCCAAAGGGGAACCAACCTGCTTTCCCTTTGCATTCACCTTCAGCCCAACCATTGTTCGACACCTGATAGAGCATTGTAAAAAAAAACGGAGCTGTTAAAATAAATACTAGCTGGGGGCAATGAAGAGACAAGTATACATATGAGGTCTTTTTTTTCTTCTTTTTGATAGGTAAAGTATACATATGAAGGTCATCCAAGGAAATTCTGAATCTTAGGAAGAATTAAGAGAAAAAGGCATGCAACATTTAAATCTTTTCAAGGATTAATCCAAAAAAGAAAATCTAAACTGCTGTCAGTCAAACTCTCGAAACTCTAATAGCCTATCACGAGGTAAGAACCAGTCGTATACATAATACATTAAGTAAAATTTTCCTTTTTTACTAAGGTGCCATAATTTGTTAGTGTGTATGTGTAAGTGTTATGCTCTAAATCCAATCAACTTTAAACTTAAATTTACATTGTCCTTTTATGTTTCCTTTTGGGAGTTGCCTTTTTTACATCATAAGATACATTATTAGAAAGTTGATATAATGCGTTTACCATATTTGGAAGTTTGTGTACATCTGATGCAACTGAGAAATTTTTAGGTAAGGGGATTGGCATTCATATTTGAGACGAATAAAAAGAAAATACAGCAGCATGTGGGAGCAAGTTGTTTGCGGGACTATAAAGCTTTGATCTGACATTGGACGGGTGGAAGATTTTGAGGATCTATGTTGTATACAGAACTTGTAGTAAGTACTGTATTTGTAAGAACTACAGAGATTTTTTACAATAGAAGGAACTACATCGTTGAATGATGTATCCCTTTTTTTTTTTTCATTCTCTTTTGTTGATTTCCCATCCATTTCTGTATGGTTAATGGCAAAGGCTGCCGGAGCAGTCGATAATGGGTGGGACAGCCCAACAGATTTTCCTGTGGAAGAATGTATTTTTGCCCTGCCTACAGGGGCATTTGCTGGGAGTGTAAATTTAACTCCTTTTGCCCATGGTGGAGGATGGCGTTCGATGCTATCAAAAGTTGTAGTTAGATCACGACAAGGTGTGATTTCGTTGCCCATATGATGCTTAACGTCCGTCATTTAAGTTAGTAGATGTAGAGAGTATAATGAAGTGAAGATTATATATATATATATATATAACCTTAGAGAGACCTTAGAGAGATTATGATTACTTTAGGACAGAGACGGTATCGTAGTAGGAGTCTGTTCAACTCAGCATCCGAATTGCAAATTATTGTGCTTCCTTACGGATAAGGATTAAGGATGGTTCAAACTTCGAAGTAGAAGTTGATTAGGACTAGGTAATCCTCAAACGTACTGGATCAATCTTGGACCCATCCACATGGTTAGGATGGTGACTGGGATATTTTGTCATCGGCAAGGCAGAGCACAAAATAATAATTTATACTAGAAAAATGAATTTTCAATGAAAACATTTTCCCCTCGTAAAAAATGGGTTATGCTAAAGAAACAGGGAGGATGACGGCCTCCCTAACCGAACCTTACAACTAGGGGGGAGGACCCATGTTTTTTGTTGGCCCCACCCCTATTTGTGGGGTTCGATCAAGAAGGTTGTCAGCCTCCTCGTTTCTTTAGCATAACCCTAAAACAATTGGGCTTGGGGCAAGTCATTTCTTTTCGCCCCTGGTCATTGGGTCATGATCCGATCATGGGATGCATAGGTCAGCTTGACCTTGTGAGCCCAAGTTTGGGACGTTATTTCTTTTTCTAGTCCTCGTGTATATTGGGGCAAGGAGTCATAAGCTTATCTCAGGATACACAGGGATGGATCGACGTTTTGGCCTCCTCGATATTATATTATCTTATAACAGGGTAGGCATTTATGTATTAAACCTAGAAGGGATTTTACCTTGGTTTGATTGAAGTATAAATGGCTTAAAGAAAGAGCAAGTGGATCGGTACTTGTCGGAAGAATAGTCGTCATTCTGTCCGGTTGCAAACCTTATCCAACGCATCTTATGTTCACTTAATAATTAATTATACAATTGATAATTGAGAAGAATGTTTAGGAATGTGTTGGATTGATAGATTGAAGAGAATATTGTCTCCTTTTAATCATATCTTACATCTTTTTTTTAATTATATTTAATCTTCTCTACTTTAAGATACTATACACGTAATTATAGCTCAGCTTAAAAATTTCTTCAGGCCGGTGGTGGATCCACCCCTACTTTGCCCTATTCTGCTTCTCTTTCAAAACCTCATTTTTTTACCCTAATCTCACCTATCCAATCCAAAATTTCTACAGCACTGCAACCACCTCCACAAGCACCCAAATTAAGAAAAACTTATTTCTTTTTCTAGTCCTCGTGTATATTGGGGCGAGGAGTCATAGCTTATCTCGAGATACACAGGGATGGGTCGACGTTTTGGCCTCCTCGATATTATATTATCTTATAACAGGGTAGGCATTTATGTATTAAACCTAGAAGGGATTTTACCTTGGTTTGATTGAAGTATAAAAGGCTTAAAGAAAGAGCAAGTGGATCGGTACTTGTCGGAAGAATAGTCGTCATTCTGTCCGGTTGCAAACCTTATCCAACGCATCTTATGTTCACTTAATAATTAATTATACAATTGATAATTGAGAAGAATGTTTAGGAATGTGTTGGATTGATAGATTGAAGAGACTATTGTCTCCTTTTAATCATATCTTACATCTTTTTTCTAATTATATTTAATCTTCTCTACTTTAAGATACTATACACGTAATTATAGCTCAGCTTAAAAATTTCTTCAGGCCGGTTGTGGATCCACCCCTACTTTGCCCTATTCTGCTTCTCTTTCAAAACCTCATTTTTTTTACCCTAATCTCACCTATCCAATCCAAAATTTCTACAGCACTGCAACCACCTCCACAAGCACCCAAATTAAGAAAAACATTACACGTAGACCAAACGGCATTTCTCACGTTCAAGCAGTTCTCTCTAATCAAGATTCAAATACACCACTCCTCATATTTCAAGATTTGTTGCAATTTATAAAAGATGAACTAAAAATATATTTTTCTTTTTTCCCTTTTCTTATTATTTAATTATTAGTCTTGCTTACTTGGATGAGAGGGCAAATGAATCTGTTTCTATCAACTTAAGGGGGTTTTTCGACGGATTCCGGCTGCCAATAAATGAAAGGTTGAGGATATAAGTGCTAAGATATAAGGAATAGGGTAATAAGAGTGCAAGGAACTCAAAGGTTGGGACTGATGATGTAATTCACATTTTTATTTTTAAAAAATTTAACATATTAAGCCCTTTTTTATTATTTGAGAATCACTCCGCTCATTTTTAGTCGCACACTCTTCAAAAAAATTATTTTCCATGATTTTTCACTTTTTAACCACACATTCACAAGAAAAATCATGTTTTTTTTCCCAAAAATCACTTCTCAAAAGTTCTTTCTCAAATAAGAGCTAAACTTGTCCTCGCTGATGCTTTTTGAAATAAATTTCTTGAATAATACTTTATGACTTAGTTTTTAAAGACATAGAATTTCTTTTCTTTTCTTTTTTTTCTTTTTTTTCTTTTATTTTTTTTATTTTTTATTTTTTATTTTTTATTTTTTATTTTTGTCTGTGTGCTGTGGTGGGGGTTAATAAAATGTAATGATGCGTTAGGGGGAAATAAAAAGAGTGACGATACCAAAATGACTAGCAATTACAAGTGTTTGAACATAATTACAAATATTCTTATCTGCAGCCTTCTCACAATAAACAAAACAGACCAAATGAAATGAATGAGAAGCACGATATATTCCAATCTTTTTTATCTATTATTCACACTATGATGCCGATATTTCATGTCAATTTTGCCTTATCTTCAATAATAATATTCTAAAATAATGCTAGTTCCGAAAAGTATTATTTGTCTTCTTCTGTTAGTTGCTCTAATTTTCTTGTATATTCAGTTATTTTAGACCAGATTATCTGGTCGACATCCTTGATTGATTAAGGCAATTTGTCCACTCAAGGCTTCCTTAATTCACACATGATAGTCCCAAACTCTTTCAAGTCAAATGTCCCTTTCCTTCAACTAAAACCATATGGTTTTGGAAATATCGAAAATAAGCTATAAGGGTTTTGGTCAATCAATCTTGTTTATTAAACATGCGCATAATCAATCCAAATAATTTAGTAGAGCTCATTTATTATGGGGAATTTGAAATTGTATATTCAAATATGCAATTTGAAAAATGGCCATTTACAATTATATTTGTAAATATTGCCAATTTTAATGGAAATAAATAAAAAATAAAAAATAGAAACTTGTTTAGATACGACCAAATTTTGCAAACCCTAAGAGCAACAACCACCACCAAAAAACATCCTTCCTCCAGAATTTTACGCCACCTTCCACCACCAACATCGCCACTTTATCCTCCACACTATCCCAACTCATCCCTGTAAACCCTTTTACTTAAGAAAAATCTCACTTCCTAATTTAAGCTCTTTTTTGTGAAAGTTAAAATTGGATTTTTAGTAAATTTTAATGAAAGTTTTTGAAATGAATGAGTTGTGGAACCCATGAAATATGTGGTTAAAATAAATTGTTTGACTTTAACTTAGATTAAAATCATATTTAAATTACTACCAAACAAAGCCTAAGCACAAATGTATGCCAATAAGGTCACGCATGATGTAATCAACAAATTATTTTCTATTAAATGTGTCATTAGCTTAAGAATGAAAGCACTAAGTAATTATGATATATTAATTCGATAAAAGATGTGGACCAATTCTTTGTCGACTCAAGCTTTACTCAATCATCATTTTTTGGGCCAATTCTTTCTCTACTCAGACTTTCCTCAATCATCATTTTTTGGTATTTTACGAAATATGAAAGATAAGATATTTGATCTGACGTGAACTGCGAATCTCTATATCATCCAAGGCTTCAATAAATTGTCAAATGGCATTCATTTGTTCAATTTTATAAATTTATTTTATTTTCCTAACTTTAGTCATTACTCAAAAATCTTGAAGCGAAATATATTTGTACTTGGATAACTTGATACATTAACAAAATTTTGGTTCGATCTGACCATAAAGATTGATCAAATATTGAAGACTAACTCGTTATTCAAAAAATAAATTAGAAACCAACTGTACAAATTTTCTGTCTATAGAATTCATAAATTATAGGTGCATAAGGAACAGTACTTGATGGGTGCCCATAAGCTGCACAGTGGGGGAAAATCTAGATTCGTCGATATTTCCCATTCCCTCCTTTTTCTTTTTCTTTTTCTTTTTTGGACAATAATAAAATATAATAGTCTCAAAATTATGAATTCTATATTTTGAGCATCCCATGCTTCCCAGTTGCTGAGAAGGATATATTCCAATACAAATGTATTAAAATATTGTATTATTGACCCCCTTTTTGAGATATTTTTATCTACACAGGACCATGTATTCACTGCTCTTTATTATTATTATTATTATTGGCTAAATTAGGAGTTTTTAAGTATATTTAACAATAGCTGAATTGAGTGGTGAAAAGACTAATTTTTTTGTTATTATTTATTTATGATTTTAGTTATTCTCATGTAGTTTATCAACCTTTTTTTTGGGTACGTGACATCTTAGATATAAATACGTCAGTTGTCAATGAATTGTGTCAAATGTTTTCAATAGCTGTTTAATTAAAAAGGTTTTTGAGACATCACTGAATCTTTCAAAATATTTTTCGATTGCCATTGAACTTTAAAAATTATTCAAATTGCTGTTGAGCTTACCAAATGTTGTCCCATCTGTCACTTAAGTGACATTTAAAAGTTAAAAAGACAGTTGAAATTACAGAAAGTTCATTAAAGTCTTTTAATTTTAAACTGTGAGTGACAAAGTGATGGATTAGATAACATTTCGTAAGTTTAGTGACAATTAGAATAACTTTTAAAGTTCAGTGGTATCTGGGAAATATGTGGGAAGCTCAATGGCAACATGGAAACATTTTAAAATTTAATGAAAATTGAAAAATGTTTTAAAAAGTTTGACAGGAATATTTAACCTTAATATCCTCTATATACTCTAAGAGTTCAAATTGAAGCCGTTGTTTTCTAATTAAATACAATCACTTTAATCATTCTCAGACATCTTTTCCTCCTCAATAATGGAATTAAACAGGAGGCGATGTGGCACCCCATCTAGCCCCTCCCCCCTCCAACGAACAGGGCCAAAAATAAATTTTGTCAATTAATTTGTAAACTGAAATGCATATTAATGCCCTAAATTGACTAAAAATTTTAATCATGCCTAATTATTATGGAAAATAAAATCAAATGGGGTGTTTGTGGTATAATTTTGACAAAGTCTGGTCAACCTTAATACTTGCTGCTAATTTATTTGATGTGAATCAGGCATTCTTTTGGATCCTAGGATTCCTTTTAGCCATGAAACTTTGACTCCCATGATTATCAAGCGCATAACAACAAATTATGTTTTCATTTAAGTAAATGTTCAAATCTTTATTTCAATACATTTCTGATTAGATGATCAATCCAACAAAAAAGAGTGATCAAAGAATTTCATCACTATTCAAAAAATGACTCGAACATTAGGCGCTTGTTAGTTTTTCTTTTCTTCTTTTTTTCTTTTTTTCTTTTTTTTTTTTTTTGTTTTCCCGTCCTAAGTAGAAGTTAGGCCGTTGCTCTTTCAAAAGTCACTTCTTTATTCATTTCATCTGACAAAAAAATGACATTTTAATGTACAATTTATTCTTTTCATTTCACTCTACCTATCCAGCCCTCTCTCCCAAGAAAATAAAAATAAAAATAAAAATAAAAAAATCTCACGGTACTTGTAAAAGTTGAGGGTATAAATAGAATTCACTCCCTTGCAGAAATGATGGCCACATGATTTGATAGGAAAATGAATTCTACTTCTAAAAATGGTGCTTGGACGAGGGCTAAATCATTTGTTTGATAAGAGTTTGTTATTACCTTCAGCTAGATATACGCTTATATATGCAAACTTTTAAATTCATTAACACTCACTATTTTGTAATCAACTTTAGGTTCTCAGAGCCCCTCAGGGCGCAGCTTAACTGGTAGATCAATCAACATTGACTTGTTTCCAGCGGTAGGATGGAGAGTTTGATTCTTTGTGGGAACCTGTGGCCAAAAATTTGGTATGGATCAATCACTGTGGAGGAGGGTCTCTTGTGCGCAGAAGTGTATAGTCAATGGAGGAAACCTGTGATCTAGTTGAGGCATATCCTGCGATTTACCCCCTCCAAGGTTCTAGGGGCATGGGTCTTGGAGATCCATGATTTAGTTTGGTATAAACTGGGATACCTGGATATCAAAAAAAAAAAAAAAAAAAGTTTTAGGTTCTCAGTGGAAACTTTATTTCATCATAATTTGGTTGAAAGTTTTTCTTCATTATTATTATTATAATACTCCATAATTTATGGAGTTCCATTCTTCTTTGAGACTCAGTCAATCGTTTACACTTTACAGTCTTACACTATTACTGTTCACTTTCCATGTATTTATATATATAATGGAATAAAATATATACCCACACCAACTTACAGAGCTTATCCCCCATGTTTCTTCCTCATTTCTGGAAATTTCTCTTTTGTTGATGAGTTTCTCCAGTACCAAATTACCAACTTGAAAACGTTGAAAGGAATTTGATCAAATCAAATGAAGATCCAGTGTGATGTATGTGACAAATATGAAGCATCAGTATTCTGTGTGGCGGATGAAGCAGCCCTCTGCGCCGCCTGTGACCATCGTGTCCACCATGCCAACAAACTTGCCGGAAAACACCAACGCTTCTCCCTCATCCAACCTTCACCTAAACAATTCCCAGTCTGTGACATATGTCAGGTATCTGAACTTTTTTTTGAATTTTTTTAATTGTTATCAGTTTTCCAGTTCGTTGATTTGGTTTTTGATTTACAGAAGAAGAGGGCCTTCTTGTTTTGTCAACAAGATAGAGCAATTCTATGCAGAGAATGTGATATTCCAATACATAAAGCAAATGAACACACTCAAAAACATAATAGATTTCTTCTCACTGGTGTAAAGCTATCTTCAACCTCTGCTCTTTATTCTTCATCCTCAACATCAACAGAATCCTCCATAACTATTGTTTCAGATTCTGTTCTGAATATCCAGTCCCAGACTTCATTAAATAAGCCTGTTTCTATTTCAGTTTCTTCTTCTATTTCTGAAACCCCCACCAATCCACCACCTTTCACTGCAAAGACTACAAGTTCAGTTATTGGAAGCGCCGACGGATCGCCGCCACCGGAGACTAATGACGAAACTGGTGGAAATACTCAACTTATAAATTGTTCCACAACTAGCATATCAGAGTATTTAATAGATACACTTCCAGGGTGGCATGTTGAAGATTTTCTTGATTCTTCTTCTTCTGGTTTCTTTAAGGTTAGCATTGTTGTAAAAATAATAATAATAATAATAAATAAATAAATTACACCCATCAATTCCATATGCTAAAATTCTTTTATTGATCTGGATTTCATTCTGTTTGATCAAATTGTAGACTACAGAAAATGATGTGTCGTCATTTTTGAATGCTGATCTTGAGAGCAATCAGCTGAGTGCTTTTTCCCAAGAAAATACGGGGTTTTGGGTCCCTCAAGCCCCTCATCCTTTGTATTATCCACCACAAATTCAGTCATATCCAACTTTAAACATGGCATTTGGGGCACCAGATGGATTAAAGGAGCCGAAGGAAATATCAAACATCAAATCCAGCAGAAAATGGAGTAGTGAAGACAATTCATTTGCTGTTCCGCAGATTAATCCATATACCGCTGCCTGAATGAGATCAAGAACTTTTCGGTAGTCCCAAAAAAAAAAAAATAATGTTACCTTTTACTGATCTGGTTTCCATTTTTCACGGTTTTATGGAGTTTTTTATTTTCATTTTTCATTTTTATTTGATTGCTGTAGTTTGATCCCTCTTTCACCCAAGCTTGCTCCAAGTAAACTCCAAAATCTTCAGTCAGATTTTTACTGTCCATGTACTTGATGCATGCATCGATATTTTTGTCTGTAATTTGGGTGCATGCAGTATTAGATGGACTGAAAACTGAAAAGTAAGATTTTAACCCCTTTTTTCCCCGAATTAATCTACTTGTACAATTATTTTTGACAATAATGGATGACAACATTGATGTTGTCAAAATCTGCTCCGTTAGTTTTAAAAATAGATTTTGAAATGGATGAATGTAATAATGACAAGTATGATTGTCAATCAATATTGTAAGAAATAATTGTACTTGTAGCATGACTCTTTTTCCCCTCTTTAGCGATGTCAGAGTACGATTATTTCATTTATCTTGAGATATAAAATGTCTAAGATCTTTATGCTTAAACAAGAATTTCACAGAGGCACAAATTGGATAGATCAATTTATATCCAGCTCAAAAATCTCTTCAAATTTTCAATCTAATTATGACCTAATTTGAGATTTCTTGATTGCATTTATTGATGAGGTAGATCAGGCATTAAAATTTGGGCGGAGCAGTAATATAATACAGAATTAAATTAAGGGCATTTTGATGTAGATTTTTGTAGAGTTGATTTTTTGATACGTGTTATTTTGGAGAATGAGTAATTGAAAATGAGTTTGGAGGAATATGAGTTTTAAATAATATATACCAAACATGGTCTAAGTAAAGAAAAGAAATTATAATCTGATCCGTACCGAAACATTTGTAAGACAGTGGTCGGTAACATGTATAGGCAGAGGCAGTGACGCAGCGAAGGAAATGAATTCGAGCGAAAACCTTAAGAAAAAGAAATTTGGAATCCACCAAATAATAAAGAAAAATAAACTGACGAATTTATTAATGAAAGATAATAAAAAAAGAGCTAAACCCTTATTTATAAGGGTTTACATGGAAACGTAGTATAGAACAACTAAAAGTGAGGAAAAAGAAGTTTATTCAAACTAGAATTGTAAAAAAACGAAAATAAACGAATTGACAAAAATAGCGCTAAAACTTTAAAAATCAGTTTTCGAGGCCTAAACGAACTCGAAAGACGTATATCACAACATAGTAGTGAGTATTGTTTCCCTTGTCGTTCTCCTTCCAAAATGATCTTATGGGACCGATCTGAAATCATAATGATTGATTTGTACTAGTACTCTTTTTTTCAATATACCTCTTATGTCCTACATCAGGCAGTTTGGGCAAAATAAGAAGATGAGACCTGAATTTGGCAAAACATTGAATTTCAGTACAGAGAACATAATCTACTTGTAATTGTGTGGGGTTCTCTAGTCTTTATCATACATAAATCTCATTGGATTTAATTAATCCATTTAACACTGTTTAACCTAAATTAGCTTCGATCAATTTGATTAAGAAATTGTACTAGTCTTGTTTTATATTTTCAAAATTTACCACGTAATTCATGTCCAATGCAACTCGACTAAAGGAATATAACGTGCAATTTTTTAGCTACTCGATTCATCTTATGGCCCTACTTGGTTCATCCAAGAAACTAGATTAAATTATAAGTTAAAATCAACAATTAGTTTCAACCACACAAGTTATTAACTTTTTATCAAATTCTACTCAAAATCTTTTTTTTTTCTTTTTTTTTTAAATCTAAACCATACAAGGGTTATACATGTTTGGAGTTTTGATAAGATGACAACATTAAGAAATTTATCATCTTCAGTAGTGGATGATTAATGTTCAACCATCAATTCATCCACTATAAATTTTAATGAAAGTCCTCAATAATTAATCATCTCATCTGTAAACATTGTAAAACCCAGGGTTGTCACTTGTCAATGTTCAACAAGTGAGAGCTGCCATATTTGAGAATAGCATAAAATAGAGCTAACTTCTTTGACTTAAAAATATATTTAAACACGTTGGGGAAAAAAAGATGGGTTTTTCACAAATCAATATTGGACTCATTATCGTCATGCCTTACCCAAGTCTAATTTGGAATAAGCACCATAAAGTAAGAAAAAGTGGACGGGAATCTTGCTCTTTTTTATTTAATTCAACTGTCTTTTATTTCACATTTGAAATTCAATAATTGAGACCAGATTATAATATCAAAAAAGCTTTGTCAAATAGGAGTTGATTATAACCTTCCTTCATTTTATCCAATCTTACATGCGATAAAATGAAAAATATTCACTTGTACAAACACATAAGTGTATGCAAGATGGATTTACAAGATCAACCTTTAAAATACTTCAGCTACCTTGCTTGCAAGAACACGTTCCCGTCTTTCAACGTACCCAAAGGGGAACCAACCTGCTTTCCCTTTGCATTCACCTTCAGCCCAACCATTGTTCGACACCTGATAGAGCATTGTAAAAAAAAACGGAGCTGTTAAAATAAATACTAGCTGGGGGCAATGAAGAGACAAGTATACATATGAGGTCTTTTTTTTCTTCTTTTTGATAGGTAAAGTATACATATGAAGGTCATCCAAGGAAATTCTGAATCTTAGGAAGAATTAAGAGAAAAAGGCATGCAACATTTAAATCTTTTCAAGGATTAATCCAAAAAAGAAAATCTAAACTGCTGTCAGTCAAACTCTCGAAACTCTAATAGCCTATCACGAGGTAAGAACCAGTCGTATACATAATACATTAAGTAAAATTTTCCTTTTTTACTAAGGTGCCATAATTTGTTAGTGTGTATGTGTAAGTGTTATGCTCTAAATCCAATCAACTTTAAACTTAAACGATTTTAATATAAATTGATGAAATTTTACGGCAAATCTATTATTTAATTAATATTCAATTAAATTAAATAATAGAATTCGTAAAATCAAAATTTAGTAATTTGTTAATAATAAAGAGTTGTGATTGTGAGATACAAATTACTTACGATTGAATCTTAAATTATCCGTGCTCATAAGTAATAACGAGATACATATATCGTTATTACGAATAGACCATCACGTGTAATATTTCTTATTTGTGAAGTAAATAACTGATCTCACAAATTAAAGTGTGATGACACTTAAATGAGTACGTGGATATTTTGTTATGGAACAAAACATTGGAGACCCGCTGGGACATTCCACATAGATAACTATCTGAGTGTCAGTGGTTAATCTTTAGTGTTCGAAAATGGAATTGGACATTTAACTTAAGATCATCATAGTGCCTTATATGAGAACATTCATACTTTGAAGACGTTGGATGTTGTTCTGTCAAGGGGCAACTAATACAGAATTATTCTGGTATGTTAAGAATTATATGAAAGTTGTGAATGATCAATAGATGATTCGTCACTTTTAGATAGTAAGAGATTATGATATACATTTTATTCAATTAAGTTAATAACGAATCCTTGATATCTAGTAATTAATCGAATTATATTAACGAATGGATTATAGTTTCATAGTAAACAAACAAGTTTGATTTTATCATATCACATTACATTTCTCGTTACATGTATTGCCCTGACACATTGATAAATGTCAATCTGGAACGATGGATGTAAATTAGTAATAAATTAAAAGGGGTATTTTAATTTATCGATTTTGATTAGATTAAAATAATAATTCACATCGTTAGGCATCGTGATTGAAAACTTAATGGGTCACACACTAAAGGGGAACTAAAAGAATGAGATTCACTAATTAATTAATAAACAAATGTTGGATAATTAATTAATTAGGCTACTTGTTAATATGCCCGAATTAATTAAATATTGGACCAGGTTGAATTTAAGAGATGGGCCAAGCCCATTTGAACTTATATTAATAGGCTGCTATGGTTTGAAAAACTATAGAGAGAATTCATATTCTTGCTAGCATAAAAAAATTAAAAATTTTAGTTCTCTTGTTCTCTGTGTGGATTTCCATCGAAAACTGAACAATTAGATAGCTGTGGATTGCATATTGTGATTGTTGGAATTCAAGAAAAGCAAAGGAGTTTGCAAAATTCAACAAATGTATAATTTTTATCACAATTTCTATTTAAACACGAAGCAGATCCTTAGTGGAAATTGAAATTTATTTTATTTTCCGCTGTGTATGATTAAGTAAATTCCCAACAGTATGTTCCAAGGCCTTAAAACCTTCTTATTTAGCTCATTTGGGGCTGATATAATTGAAGAACAACAATTCTGCTCACTCCCTTCGACGTACAGCAGCAATGGTTTTCATGTTGTGGTGTGTGGTGCATCATGATTGGTATGTGTTAGAATTTGTGTATGATCCGAATTCTATTTGAAAGATAACTGGGAATTCTAATTAAAGTTGACTTAAGAAAAATGCTATTTGGAATTTTATTCGAAGTCTATTTGGCAAATTCTAGTTGAAATTCTATCTGAAAGCCCAATTAGGAGTTCAAATTTGTGTTGAACTTAAAAGGGATAAGATATGGACATCTCAATCTATCTACAACTCTACTTCTAGAACTTGAATTGTTCCCTATATATATTCGGCTCTTTTCTGCTATTTAGTAAGGTTGTTTAACCTTATTACAAGTTAGAAAAATCATAAATACAAAATCTTTGTATTCTTTCTCCATATTATAATAAATTCCCCTTTCCTCTACCAATTATTTTGTTATTGAGTTTGTGATCAATTACTTCATATTGTGCCATATTTTCTCACCTATTATCACAACAAATTGGTATTGGAATTATCTGATATTTTCTTCAATAACAGTAAGGAAGAAAATGGGATGTCAAGATTGGTATGGAAAGAAACTGGGGAAAAAAATAAGCACCCATAAAAAGAGAGCTGCCAAGGACATGTAGACCGTGAAAGAGTCATCTTTAGTCACAAGATTGTAAAAAAAGAAGATGAAGAGCATAACAAACCTTTCGGACGACTACATAGTCACCAACTGATAACGTCAACTCTACGTCAGAATCGGCTTGATATGGGTGCACAACCTTTGATGAGATACATAAAAGCATCATCAGGTGGTTAAGAACTGATTCATTAAGTTACATATATCAAAAATAACTTGACAATGAAAAACCAGGTACCTCTCCTAAGAAGTAACCCGGGCCATCAATTGGCCCAGGATATGATTGAGGAGCAAATAAATCATCACTTCCATTGTATAAAGGGGGAGGAGGAATAGCACGATCTGTCGCTGGAATAGGAGAAGCTTCAAAAGATTGGCGCTCAGACAACATCTATCCACAAACAAAAAAATCCATTAATTACCATACGGCGATCTGTAAATCAAAACTACCTAAAAGATGCAGCATGCTGTATGAGCATTAACCATTTCACTATGAAAAAACTTTTGAGAAACTTAATGCATCTCCACGAGAGCATCGTTAACTATCATACCTCCCCCTCAAGCTGATCAAGTATCTGTAAGACGCGCTGATGATAAGCACGCTCTGCCTCAACCTTCAATAAGGAACAAGTGAAAACTTGCAAATGCCGATTCAATGGAATTTACATTGTAACAATGGTAGTTTGGCATATTGCAGATGAGGAAAAAATAATTCATTACCATGGCTATAAGTCGCTGGATAGTCAACCTTTGTTGTTGGCCTTCCACAGCAGCCATTGCAGCAGCAGCCTCTTTACCCAAGGTGGTCATGTTTGACTTAAGTTCGCGAAGCTTCATTTCGGCAGATTCCAATTTCAATATGTTATCAGGATTGGCGTTCGATTCTCTCACTTTTGATTGCCGTCTGAAAACTTCAATAGCCTGTCTGGGTCAAAAGAATAATGGAATACAAGTTGAAAGAGATACATCCTACAAAAACCATCGAAGCAGTAGTCTGAATGCAACACGAGATCAATATTCTACAAGAGGAAATTATAGGTGATAATCCACAAGGGGGGGAGAAATTTAGAAATCTCCAGAAATCTTTATTTGGAATCACCCAGGTAAAAACATGAAGTAATAAAGCAAACAACATTGACAAAAACTAAACATTGGTAGATAACAAAAGTGTGTAATCTGGCATGCAACAAGCATGATGTTACCTGAGCTTCAGCTTCCTGTCTCATTCTATCATATTGCTGTGCAAGATGTCGAGCATCTTCCAATGAGGATCCCATTACCATTGCTTTTAATGGCTCCGCAACCTGCTGTCCAAAAGGAATCAAAACACAAACTGTCCAACTAAATATATTACAAGGGAAATGAAGCAGGAGCTTGAAGATATAATATTGATGCCATATATTAGACTAATGACATTTAAATAGAAATATAAAGAAGTCCCGACACTTTAATTCACACTGCATTTAGCAAGAATCGTTTCCTCATGCTAGATAACAGCAATACTACATATGACTTTCCCAACCAGCCTGGATCATTGTTGAGAAAGAGAAAGAAAGAAATAGAGAAGGAGACTAGAAGAATATCTGATAATTAGAACACCAACATATTCCTCTAATTAAGCAATTACAAGTTGTATATGGGAACATTTATCATATCTATCTAAAGACGAGGCATATAAGGAGGAAGGAGGGATGAAGGGATCCAGTTAAATCCACACATTTATGAATTATCAAGATTCTACAAGCATATTGCACGAAAGTAATGTAAGCGTGTCATAAAAATACATCCAAAATTTGCTGTGTTGTTGGAAAAATATATATCATATCATGTTTTTTATTGCAACTAGTAATGAGCAAATCATGCCTACAAAAGTGATCTAAACACTTGTTTTCAATGGATGCAAAAGACTGGTACATACCTGTGTTCCAAGTGCTTGCAGTAGATTTCCATGTTCTTTTTCTATCTGAGCACGAGCTCTACTATAACTTAATGCCGCTTTGGATAATGTACTGCCACTGGTACATGTGTTTTCAGCACCATATTTTCTGCTACCTTCGGACAACTTGGTGCCTGTTGAAAGAATAATGGCATCATTAATGACACTGCATGATGTTTAAGATCAATAGAAAAGAAAATTTAGAAACTCACCAATTTCAACTTGCTTAAAACCCGTGACAATATAACCTTCTACACCTCGGATAACGTCCCTTTGATAGTGCTGATTAGCAAAAACAGTATGTATATCAAAAAGAGTAACCGGAGAAAATCGCTGAGGCAAATTTGAAGAATAGACTGATGGGTAAACCTTGGCAGCACGAGTGGAGATGTAGAGCTTCTCAAGTTTTTGATGCAGTTGGAGTTCATTATCATCGGTGGCAAGATTATCCGAACCACCAAGCCCACCAGAAAACTGCTTGAGCACAGCCTGATAAAATTTGGCAGAAGGAAGAGAAAGAAAGGCAAAAAACAGTATAAGCAACGTCATTCCTCGCACAAAAAGGAATCCACAATTGAAATAAGAGGTCTAAGCATATTTCAATCACAATATGAAATAGGAAATCTTTGGTGCCCTAATTAATCCATGGCATATATATCCAGTTAAAATCGATTCAATGTCAAAGTTTTCAACATTTCGGAAAGTAAAACCTGAAATAAATTGGTTGAATCATACAGTCCAAGTATTACTCTCTTTTGGGCATTTCTTCAATTTATTTTTCCTTTATTATCATTATCAATAACATATATCGCTGATTTTCGAAACTATACCATCAAAATAACACATTAAAATAACCATGGAGTCAGTCAAAATCAGGGCAACTGTACTTTGTGTGCGTATGAGTGAGAGAGAGAGAGAGGAGGGGGGTGTACTTGTTGCTGCTTTGCTACTTGTTCTCTGAGCTTTGTAGCTTGCTTTCTTATTGCTTCCATTTCATTACAGAGTAGAGAGACAGAGAAGGGCGAACGAGGTGGGCAGTCAGGGTTGGAGCGTTTCAATTATTTGTCAGAAAACTTTGAATTGCCTGCGGTTTTTGAATTTGTTCGGACAAGATTTGCGACCTGTTTGGCACGACACAACATTGACTAATTTACGAGCATAGGCTCTATAGCCTAAGGAACGTTCTATGGCCCGGAAGACACTTTTCTTCTTGACATTGGCCAGGACAGAATAATTACCCATATTGTAATCTATTGGAGGTACTTAATTATTAATATTGTTTTAATTTTTTTTTAATTATCTTCTTAATTTTGGAATATTCATAAATAATGTATTTGTCGAATCTAACAATTGATTCAAAATTGTGTCTTTATGCAATATTATTGAATTCGAATGTTTTAGCTAAAAAGCTGAATTATATTAGCATATTTCTTTGTTCCATTATGCTTTTCAACGTTGCTTTCTGCCTCTACGAATAAAGGGGTTTTAGCCTTGTAACAAGTTAAATTTAAAATGAAAGAGTTTGATTAATGATGTGATTGAACTGAACTGAACTGAACTTTGATCGTAGAAAGAATTTAAATTAACAAGTGTGACCTAAATTCGGTTTAAATTATTTAGTTCGATCACAAGAGTTCTGGTGCTTTTGGCCCGGGTTCCAATTAGAGGTGCCACCCAAACAAATGGAAAAAAAAAAATATATATATATATATATATATATATATATGTGTGTGTGTGTGTGTGTGTGTGTGTGTGGTGGTGTTACATACAAAATTATGTCATTCCATGCAATGTGTGTGGCTACATTATTAATCATGATTCATTTTGCAGCAGCTGCACCATGACAACATCATTTCATATTTGGACATCATGATGTTAATTGAAGTCATGTTTGGTGTGGTTTAAAAATTTGATAAAAATTCTAATCAAAGTTAACGATTTATTTTAATTGGCATGGAGCTTACATCAGTCGAGGGCCTTGAGGCAAAATTCTAATTTAAAATTAAAAAAGATACATAGTTTTTTTCTAATTTACAAGGCAAGAAATGACAAATAAATCATTTATATTTCTCAAAAATTTTGGATGGAACGGGGACGGAGAGGAGGTGGGGGAGGGGAAGGATTGCACTGGTCTTGTTCAGCCTCGTCTTGTTGTCATCTCTGACAATGAATCATAATTAAAATCGAACAAATGATTTTCCCTAATCGAAGTCGTTGAATAGTGATTCTAAATCAAGATTATCAAAGTTCGTGTCTAACATACCATACAGTCGGCTTAATCAAAATCATTGCTCTGATTTTGATTCACCAACTGATTTTGGTAGTTCGAGTGTCCTCTTTTGATAATCAACCTCGGTGTTCACGTGTGAGAACTTATGCACATAACTTAGCAAGAATAAAGTTGAATAAATTATTAGCAGCTCGTGTGAATTTGTTGACAGCACATCTTGCTAGCACAATGACTTTTAATCATACCAAAACAATTTTGTAGTTTAGAACCATTCAAAACCAAATACATCTGAGTTTCTCAATATCAACAAAAAATAAAAGGTTTCACGTATAGCATCAAATAGTTTATAAATAAAACTCTATAAATTAATTTTCTCTTGTTTCTTGTCTACCAAATTATGAACTTCTGAGTCGCTTGCCTGTCATTTGCAGAAATAAATTTTGAGTGTAAGAAGCTGATCATTTACATATTACAAGGCTTATACAATTATTGAGTGACAAGTGTGTCCACATCTCAAATTGACTTGACGAGGATCCATTCTCACGAACAAATACAACCGCTATACACACTTAGCTAGGAGCACTCATTCCTCCATATTCATACAAGACCCAAGTAGGCGGGTCGTGGTCCTACGAGGCACCCCTTACTAGAACTAACCTCCCAAAAGGAAAAATAAAAATAAAAAATGTGTGTGTCAGGTTCTGTTCTGTTTAATTGAATTGGACAGTTCAATTAGCAATATTATACTTGGTTACCTCTATTTGATTCAAATTGCGAGTGAGTATCGTCTTCATGCTATATAGATGGATTATAGTATCTTATGGTATGACTTATCTGGAAAAAATAAATTTTATTTACTCACATATGAAATAAAATCAAATTATTATACAATGCACTTTTTCTACATCACGACACAAAGTGAAAATAAATAAATAAAATTGTACCTATATCCGTTCAATACATTTTCAGCCACATCAAATAATTCATTTTTGTTGGATATTGGTTAAATAAATCGAGAATTGAAAATCGATTAAAGTGACTTCGTATCGACTTCGGCCAAATACTCAAAAACTCGACTCAATCCGTTTAGGCAAAATTGTTTGCCACTTCGCCGGTTCGGGGCGCACAAACGGGGATCGACCTGTATTGAAGGGTAACGCCCCCGAAAGAGAATTTTGATTTCTCTGCATGTATTGAAAGGTATATTTGGCATTTCGAAAATCAATATCAGATGAATGAGAAATTACGAAAAAGGACGAAAATCAGGTTAAAATATTTGACCGTGCAACCGCATGGTTGGTAAACCGCGCGATCACACGTCAAATTCAATTCCGGTTTTTTGAGTAAAACCGTGCGACCGCACGGTCTATAACCGTGCGGCCGCACGGTTGTCCGGTGAATAGACACATTTTCATAAAGGTGCATTGTTTGGAAAGGGTGCATGGTTTGGCCTCAACCATTTCGTCCACACCCTTTCATGGTCTATAAATAGAACCCTTTGGGTGTCCTATTCCACACAATTTGATATGCAAAATATCTCTCATCCTCTCTTCTATCCAAAATCAAAATAATTTCATTTATTTTGATTTTCCTTCATTTCATCCTTGGAGTACATAAGCCTAAATTTAGTTCGTTGTACTTGTGTTTTGAAGTGCTACAAACACAAGTGTAGTCGTTGTATCTTGGGAGTCGATTGCCGAAATCCGTAGGCACCGTTGCGAGACAAATTCGACTTAAGGACAAAGAGTCCAACTCTTGCCTCGGCTTTGTCCCTACTTTTTCTTCTTCTTGTTTGTGTTTTCTTTGCCGTTACTCTGTCCAATTTTCGGCACGGATTTACAAACCATTATTATACTTATTTTGGCGTCACTATTCACAAAATTCCTCCAAAAAAATTTTCGTCAACATAAGACGCTTTAATGTATAATTTCCCATTCGACTCTCTTTGAAATTCTTTAAATTTTGAATTAAGATATATTTTCTATTTCAAAATGTGTTAGACACAAAATCCAAGCAGTAAATGAATAAAAATCATCATACTTTTCCTTTTCAATCTTGCTTCTTAAAGAATCATCATACTACTTGTCAAATTTCTTCAATGTAGTCATCAAAGAATTCATTTCATACTCTCAATACAACATGTGGTAAACGTTCCAGTCCAAAATGCTCATTTTTTCCTCTTTATTTGCTTCTTTTTTTTTTCTCTCTCTCTCTACGAATGCAGATGCCTATGATGCTTCTCTTTGTATGATTATCTTACCACACATTTCTCACAAAAATTGAATTCAACAATGAACTGCTCCTACTTTTCTTGAGATTCTTCTTTCTCCAAAAATTCATAAACAACATTATGCAAGGCATTTCTAATTTTTTTCATACAACTTTATAATCCCTTAACTTCTTCTTTTCATTATTCGTAGATAATGTCGAGGGTTAGGAAACACAACCTCAGCTAATTTTATTTTTTAAATTATGTTGATCTGTAATTATGGCACTCGGTACATGTCCATGTATGCTTGCTAAGTACGAAATATTCAAATAATTGTAGTAACGTGCTCATTTTATAATAACCTACGTCCAAATAAAATTGAGTATTTATAGTGGTTTACACCAACAAAAAGTACAAAAGTCATTTCATACTTATTTGTCAAGTAAGTCATGTCAAATGTTACAAAATCATAAAACTGTTTATAAATCTGACATACTCATTTCTTCAGCCCAAAATAAAGTTCTTAATTTAAGCATTGTCATCTGTTTCAAGCTTGAATTCTTCACTTGCATCTGAAAAAATAATTACGGATTTCTTCAGTGTCTCCAATTAACAAGTCGTAGTTTTCTTTTATTATAATGTAATTTATAATTTTTTTTCTCAAATGGTACATTATCAGGATCTAGGCTTCCACTGCAAATAATTGATAATTCTCTGCTTTGTCGATAAAATTGCTCGACCATTCAATTCATGTTTTCTTTGAGCACATATGCTGATTTGCCTATTGCATAAGAAAAATTATGAGTTGTGTGACTCAACCCATGATTATGCTCAAGTAATAGACTTAATCTTACATTTTCCATTTTTAAATATAGAAGCATTAACCTTAGCTTTGCAATCCTAATTTTGTCAATTGATTAGAATCGATGAAATTTTATTTTTGAAACTTCAAATTTCCCACTCGAAAATGATAAGCCAGCAAATTTTAAATTCCCATATGATCGTGCTGATCTCTCTATAATTCCAAAGGCTTCATGCTTCTTGTGTTGTTTGTAATACATACAAATGTTATCCAACGTTCCAAATGTTAGAAATGGTGTATTATTAATGAAATGGGTCAACTTTGGACCCCAATTTTTTAGTGGGACCCATACTGCAATTTTAATGGGACTATTCACGTTTTATGTCGCGAGGTGATATATATTTTTGATCGAAAATCATTTAGAATTGAATGAAATATTTGATATCAAAGTAACTCACTTGAAACTATAAACTAGTGAAAAATTAGATTTATTGAAAATTATTAAACACTGATTTCACGTAGAAAAGTTAATAAACTTTGGTATAGTTTATATAGTGGAAGTTTGGCTATTGGGTTTGGGTTCTAAAGAGTACAAATAGGTTTTGGTAGGGAATACCTATATTCTACTGGGGTCCTAAACCCACGCACGCGTTGCTGTCGCTATCTGACTTGCTCAGCTCGGCACCACGAGTACGAGTACATGCCCACATCCAAGTCTAGTTCGTGTTAGGATTCAGGTGGATCCTTGTACTATATTATTTGTTTGGACAAAATTTAAATTTTAAATTTTGGGCCAAATTGTAAATTAATCAAATTCTTAGATACTTAATGAAATTAATTTTGATTGGCTTATTTTCGGGTGATTTTTTTGTCTGAATTGTCTGTTAACAAATTGATGT